TAATTATGTATTATTAAATGTTTAAGATAATTTAAATACATAGGTATACAAGATGCTGATTATCTATTTTTTCTAGTTTTATTTGTCTGATTATCTATTTATTCTAGATTTATTATATACTTCGAGATATAACATAGGTATTTTTTTCTTATGTATTAGTAGGTAATAATAATAAAACAACGCACTTAGGAATAGGAAATCACAAGACAATAAAAAATACCTACTAAGGATTATTTAAATTCTGTAATTAAAAAAAACGTATTTTATTAATTTCTTGGAAACTATCACATCACTTTTGTGCATTTTGCGTTTTGATTGGTAATCTACAGGGTACCCCGTTTGGTATATTGGTTTTGGTTGGTATGAGTTTTTTTTTTATCTCATTGTCCCCACAAAAAATCGGAATTTTTCCCAGGGAATTTTCGATTCATCCAGCTCAATCATCTCGTCGCGAATAAGGTTAGGTAAATTGATACCACCTATTTCGATCCCTGATAATAATATTAAATATACAGGTGTTTGGTAGAACGTTAGACAAACTTCGTATGTAAGGTCATTTTGAATAAAAGTTCGCCCATTTGACCCTAAATGAGCTACTTTTATAATTATTTATTTTTTTCCGAAATTTGACCTAAAACTGCTTCTTTTTTTCTCACGTTTTCAACCGATTTTTTTATTAAATAAAAAAATCGGTTGAAAACGTGAGAAAAAAAGAAGCAGTTTTAGGTCAAATTTTGGTATGAATATCCAATACGTCTAAAAACATTTTATATCCAGATAATGATTGGATAGCTAATTACGAGCCGCCAAAGTTTAACAAAAGTATAAAACACTATAAAAAAATTAACTTAGAAATTGATTTAAAAAAAAATGTGTGTTAGTGGATTGTTTTTAAGATCATTAAAAACATCTAATTATCTCTTCTTTTCAACGATAATAACTAAATACCTATCACTTGTAGTAATTAGATATTGGATAATGATGTCTAATTGAAATATAATCATTTATTTTAATTTTGTTTCAGTTTGAAAATATGCTGACGATAATTATTATTATTCTGTACTAGCGGCCGCCCGCGACTTCGTACGCGTGGATCCCGTTTTACCCCCTTCATCTATCTTACGCGGTTTAGATTTTTTCATACAAATGTTTTTTCCCGCTAACTCCCGTTCCCGTGGGAATTTTGCAATATCCTGTTGTAACTAAGCTTTAAGTTTAATAAGGTACCTGCATGCCAAATTTCAAGCGTCTAATTTAAGCGGTTTAGATTTTTCATACAAAAGGATTTTCTCGCTAATTCTCGTTCCCGTGGGAATTCCTAAGTATACTATAACCTGCCCAGGAGTATGAAGAATAATTGTACCAAGTTTCGTTAAAATCCGTCGAGTAGTTTTTGTTTCTATAAGGAACATACAGACAAACAGACAGACAGACAGACAAAAATTTTACTGATTGCATTTTTGGCATCAGTATCGATCACTAATCACCCCCTGATAGTTATTTTGAAAATATATTTCATGTACAGAATTGACCTCTCTATAGATTTATTATAAGTATAGAAGATATGATTTATTTTCTTTTTTTAAATTCTGTTTTGAAGCACAAAATAAGCATCGCAATTTTTTTCGATCTGCGTAAATTAAAATCGAGTCAACATTCCCGTAGGCAGTTATGTTAGAATTGGCCGCGCTTCGCATCTGTATTCTGAGCGCACTTTGATATCGGGCAAGAAGCGCGGGCGCCCAGCGGGAGGCGCGTTGTCTCGCTCTAATGCTCAAGGTCGTTCGGCCATGTAATCGCCTTAAGCCCAGTAAATCAGAATCCTACTCATTATAACTCCGACTCAGCCCTCAATATGGCGACTACCTGTGTTCAGGAGGATAATTACTTCAATATTACAAAGCGCCCAAAACGATTTTTAGATGACACGGTGAAAAGTCAAGCCGGTATTCCAAATACAAACAGAGACATCTCAGAAATACAATCTCTGTTCGATAGCAGATTTGAAATATTAAATAATTCCTTACTTACAATTGTGACTCAAAACCAGGCTATACAAAAATCCGTCGAAACCATGTCCATTAAACATGAACAATTGCTATCAAAAATCAATTTATTAGAGAAGGAAAATTGTGAATATAGAAACCGAGTGTTAGCACTTGAGAGTAAGGTTGATATGCTCGAAAAAAACAGCCGCTCCACTCTCTTAGAAATCCGTAACCTCCCTAAACAACAAGTGGAAAATAAGGGGATTTTAACAAGTATTATAGAGACTCTGAGTTCGACGCTTGACGCTGACAAGACAATAGCTGAATCCGAGATCCGAGATGTTTACCGGAACAAATCTAACACTGTGATAGTGGAATTTACTACAGTTACCCGCAAAGAAAACCTTATGTATTCCTACAAGAACTTTAATAAGAAGAGACGTGAAAGCAAGGAACCTCCATTAAATTCGGAACATCTCAAGCTGCCAGGTGCCCCTCAAACCATCTACATTTCTGAATCCTTGACCAGCAAAGCCAGACACCTATTTTACATAGCTCGTGAAAATGTAAAATCTAAGAAACTCGCCTCCGCTTGGACATCCTTCGGAAAGGTGTACGTGAGGAAAGATGAAGGTGCACCACCAGTTCGAGTCAACGGAGAGGAAGATATTTTCAAAATTACAATGTGACTAGTCTTAGTGATGTTTCTGGCGGTTTTTCTGCTTTAGTGAATTTATCTTTTTCCTTAAATATTATTATCTGTTTATTGCATGATAGAAATTATCTAAGATATTGTCCAACTCTTTTCTTTAATCAATTGGGCTCTAAATATCCAACTTTCGTGTATATTAAACTACTGAAATTTTACAGTCTAATGTTTACTTTAGGTACGCGTATATTAATTAATCCTAAATATAAAATGAATGAGCACACACACATTAATACACCACACAACACACTTTATACTTTACACAATAAATACACCAATTTGGAAGCTAGGATCTTGGTTCGGGGCCTATTTATTTTATATAGTACTCTTCATTACTTATATTCATCACGTATGAGACGTGATAAACTAATATATACAAGTCGCGAGTGAACAACATGCAAAACTTTGAAGAAATAGGCCTTGAATTGGATTCATTGTCGGTTGCACGAGTGGTGACCTGTGATGTAGACGAGCTGAAACAACATATCTCCGTAAACAAACGCTCCTTAAATATAATTACTCAAAACGTTCGCAGCATAAATTGCAATATGCCTAATTTTTCTACCCTTCTCCATAGGTCTGATCTAGCGTGGGACATAATGGTGTTGTCTGAATGCTGGCTTACCTTGGGTAATCCCATCCCTGAAATTGAAAACTATGAACACGCTTGCACTACTGGGCATAGGACGCAAAACGAAGGTGTAGTCATTTACTACAATAAACACCTAAACGTAACAATTGAAGAGCCCCATGTAGAAGATGCCAATTGTCTTATTTTAAAATTGAACCACGAGACCTGCGTCATTGGAATTTACCGGCCACCTAGAAGTGATACTAGTAACTTTATAGACTCCATTGACTCAGTTCTGTCAAAGCTAAGTAACTTTAAAAATATAGTCCTGTGCGGCGATATTAATATTGACATACGTCCGGATGGTAATGATAGTCGCTCACAGGACTACCTAAATCTTCTGGCGAGTCATCGTATGCTACCCGCTCATTCTGAACCCACTCACGGCCGAACGTGTCTTGACCATATCATCGCTAAAACGAAGCTTGAAGCGTCTTGTTTTGTAATTGAATCGTCTATTACTGATCATTACACAGTTGCTCTTAATATTACTTTCAAATCAGATATCTTATTTAAGACAAATGTAGTCAACCGTATTAATTTTGAAGTTCTAGACAAAACCGTCGAAGACTTAGACTTTACACGGATCCTTGAATCTTCAGATGCTAATCTTGCAGCGAATATACTAGTATCAAGTTTATCAGAGGCCGNAATGTAATGTTTGTATCAAGTGGTTGTTTTTGCCTTGATTTAATTAAGATTTATGTGATTCTGAACATAACATCCTGCGTGTGAAACATTACACATTAAAATCAACATATTAGATTGTTGAATACACACTTATACACTTTTACAGATTACTTCAGACATAAAAAAGTAATTGTGCTTATACCTACTGGTTTAAAATTGTGATTTTCATTCAAAATATCATTAAATTCAAACCAAAATTGAAATTGGCCTAAATAAATTTGATGATTTTCATAACATTGACATGTCAGTTGACAGATGCTTTTTTAATTATTGACTTTGTCCCATGTAATTACAGCCAATGTGTTAGAAATAAATGGTTTTAAATGACTAGATCAATTTTTATCGACAAACCGCTTCATTTTAATTAGTTTACTTTGTAATAGAATCATAGAAAATAAAAAAAACGTATATTTAAAACAATAGAATAGTTCATTCACTCATTTTATCCCTTAGTAGATTTTGAAAGGATTTTAATGGCAACACCATTATCTATTCAATTACGATCCCATTACAATTACATTACGACTTCATTGATATTGTAAACAAGTTTTAGCAGAATACCAAATTTGTCTCAATCGTAATGGAATCGTAATTGAATATCAATTGAATAACAATAGCTTGTCATTTAATTTAAAATAGCAGACTTGGGGCCCAGGCTTTAGATAATCTAATTCAAATTATTCAAATCCCTGCCATTTCGCTGGAAGGTCACGTTCAAAGTTGCTGGTTCCTTTCAGAGCGAGCAGAGTTCCTTTTTCGTATTTGTCGGGAAAATCGTCAGTGTGAAAAGGCTCATGCAACGTACAAAAAATTTGAATATCCCAACATATTTATTTATCGTTCCCTACCATTATAGCTTCCACTGTTAAAAAAAAAGCATCACAAGAAACTCAAGGGTATCGCTCCAGTTACAGTACAGTCGCTCCCGACTACAGTTCAAGAGAATCCAGCCGCGCTAAAAATCGCTCGCTTCAATCGCCAGGCAACCGAGGAGCTAGAAGGCGTGCGCTCGCTACACGATGAAACAGTGCGCGCGTGGCACGCCGAGCGCGCCGCGGCCGCGTCCACGCTGCAAGCGCTGCAAGCCGCTGTGGGCGAGGCGCAGGCCACGCTGCTGGAGCGCGCTGCAAGCGCTCGCGACGCCGAGAGCCGCGCGCTACACGCCGTCACCACGCTCACAGTACACCGCGAGACGCTGCAGAAGAAGCTGGACAGGTGAGGCGTACTTGTAATTGTAGGTGGAGCACCACCATCATCTGCCCAAATGACTTTTTTTTATCCACAACGAGGAAGCTCTTGGCCTGTATCTCACCTGATGGTAAGTGATGATCAGGCCGAAGGTGGAAGCGAGCTTCCGCCGGAATCCTCAACCACGGAGGAACTGGCTATTTTACCTCTAACTGCCGGAACACAACAATGCTGTTAACATTGTTGTTATGGCGACAGACTTAGGTAAGATGGTGGTAGCTAGCTAGGCGGACTTAGAACAAGCCCTACCACCAACCAAACCGATCAGAAAAATCTGCCCCCACTGGGAATCGAACCCGGGACCTCTGCGTCTGAAGCAGGTGGTCTTACCACTAGACCACAGAGGCGGTATCCTACAAATAACTTTTTACAACATCCAACTCAGAAGGCTCTGATTTAGATATTAAGCTGCCTTTTAAGCTAGAGAAGCTCGACTTGAGATCAGGGCCCCGATTGCGTTAAACAATTTTCAACTACAATGCGATTAGACGTCGAGAACGAAAATCAGATTTTTGACAAATCAGTATCGCGGTATCGTTTTGATAGTTAGTTCAAACGAGGCTGAAATGTTAACGGAGTGCAACTGCGCCTTTACGTAAAAGCTGACAGAAAGCTATTTTTTCTCAAACGCATTTCGAACGCTTCACATACTTTTGCTAAAATAAGATGTTCGGACTTTTAATGGAAAGTGCATAAATCTATTGTATCGTCTTTTTTAGTGCGTGAACTTTACCGTGATAACGAATTGCATTTCAGCTGGAATGAAAATGGAGCGCGAGTCACACGCTACTGGAGATAAAATGTGAATGAATTGGAGACATTACAAATTAGCGCAATCGGGGCCCAGCTCTCTCTTCCGAGTTAGAAGAAACCAGCTGGATAGATGAGGCTTAGTGACAGTGCCATAGTTGTTTCTTTCAGGCTATAGGCACTTTTAGACCGTTCTCAAGGAAGCCAGGGGAAAAGCGACAACGGCCATGTGTTTTAATGAGCGATCAAAACTGATATGACATCATTGTTTCAGTTTAGAAAGGGACAACGCGTATCTCATTGGCCAGTACACGAAGAAAGCGGCGGAATTACAGAACGAATTTATAGATCTCCCGGATAACGTCGAGGTAAACACATTTATATCGCTTAACTGTCCCTATCATTCATTTACCTGTATGACACACTGGCGTGGTTGCTGTCATAATATATCCGTGTCTATTTGAGTTTCGTAATATTGGCGCAGTAAGCCATACCACGGTAATATTATCTATACAGTATTCCAACTCGGGCATATTTTTGAAATAAATGTCAACAGCCGCGCGGAATGTCACCGTATGACAAGATGCGATAGGGCTGCCTGCCTTGCAGACCTATTTTCATTACATCTATGCCTACTTTGAATTTTTATCTAGTATTGTGAATGTATTTTGTGATTGTAATCTTTATTTTATTTTGACAAACAAAATACTTTGTGAATGAAATAGGATAAAAATGCATGTTGTTTTGTGATTAGTAGATTTAATTAAAAGAATATATTTGTATTAAGATTTAGTAACAAATCTTATAAATTTACGACCGTAAAATGTATGCGTCTCGACTTAGGCGTACAAAATGCTTGATTATTATACAGGGTGTTTAGGTAAATGGGTTTATAAGCCGACACTAGCCCATGGTATATAAATGGTATGATGAAGTCAGAAAATTGATATCATTATTTTAATAATTTTAATTTTCATACAAATCTGATTTTATATATTTATTTTGTATGAAAATTTAAAAAATAAAATTATGATATCACTGGCTTCACCATACCATTTATATGCATAGGTATGTTAACATGGTCTAGTGTCAGCTTATAAACCCATTAACCTAACACCCTGTATAAATAGGTACTTGTAATTATGTTTATATTAAAAGAGCGCTTACTGTTTAAAAAACAACACCACGTCCGATTGCACATTCGCGACACCCCCGACTTTTGCATGTCGAGCGCATACCGAGATTTGAATTTCGAAGGAAAGCTCGCGTTTCGCCTGTTTATATGAAGTTATAATACTGTATGATAATATTACCGTGGCCATACTGTAAGCAGATACGATTGTCCATGGAACTAAAGTTAGTGATGTTTTTACTTGCTTACTCCTAGCAATGTACGTCAAAATTAGGTCTCGGGACAATCGTAGTGGTGCTTCAAATTGCCACACAAAATTAGCTGTCATTTGTACCGAGACAGGCTGTCCAGTGTGTAAAAATTTTTCTTATAGGAACTACAAGAGCTGGCGCTGCGCTTGCGCGAGCAGATGATCGTGTGCGCGGTCGGGCGCGAGGAGGCCGCGCGCGCCGAGCACGAGCTGCGCGCGCAGTTGTTGGNCGCCAGGTGGGACATCCGAGCCTGGCTCCCGTGGGAAGTCCGCACTCTCAAGACACACGCACCGATCACCCGGCAGGATTCCGAGCGAATCTTGCTGTGTTTTTTGTTGTTTTCGTTCATCTACAGCAGTGGTTCCCAAACTTATTTAGTCTACTGCCCACTTTGAGAATAAATTATTTTTTAGCGCCCCCCATTTTTGTAGTCAAGAGTCGAGCTCAGTCGATGTCTAAGAGTCCTCCTAGTAGATGACGCCTCCCAAGCCTCTACACAACGTCCCGATTTTTTTTCTGGGTCTCTTACCGCCCCCCTTTAAGCCTGCAGCGCCCACAAGGGGGCGTTATCGCCCACTTTGGGAAAGACTGATCTACAGGTATCCCTGAAATGTGGAATGACCTTTGACGGATCACGTCTAGTGTTTTGGTTACGAGTTTATGTTTTCGGCAGGAAAGAACTGGAGCAGCTGCAGACGGAGCGAGGCCAGCTGTCGGAGCTCGGGGACAAACTGCGGGCCGCCAACGATCTCACGGAACAGCTGCTTGATGACAAGGTAACGCAACAGTTAAACTGCAAACAGTCATATGGCGCGGGAAAATAAGCCTAATAGCCGCAATGGATGCCCGCGCATAATTTTTTTTTTTCCGAAAAATAATTACGATTACGATTTGTTCTATATACCTTATAGTAAATTGGCGACACCTTTCAATTTGATCATATATTATGCATTTGTTCCTTCTACAGCGGCGGCTGGCGGCGGAGGCGGCCGAGCTTCGCGGGCGCGTGGGCGCGCTGCAGCAAGAGCTCGACAACAGCGAGAAGGTGCAGCAGGACTTCGTGCGCCTCTCGCAGTCGCTGCAGGTGAGCTAGCATGCTGCGGGCGAGCTGGCATGCTGCAGGCGAGCTAGCATGCTGCAGGCGAGCTAGCATGCTGCAGGCGAGCTATAAAGGTTATAAGGAATGGGCTAGAAGAAGGCCGCAACCGACCACCAATCTTGATACATTGAGGCCTTTGTTCAGTGGTGGACGTGCTGTGACTTAAATAATGATTTTGACCCATATTTTCACCAGGACTAGGTCAGCTGAGTGAAGGCAAACCGAGGAAAATGAAATAAACTTTCCGTTGTGTGCAGGTGCAGCTACAGCGAATCCGCGAGGCGGACACGGAGGTGCGCTGGCAGCACGACGACGACGTCAGCGAGTGCCCCGCCTGCCGCGCGCCGCTGCCCAACAACAAGAAGAAGGTACGCACAAGAGTGCTGACATGATAATTTTTTTTTTTTTTTTTTTTATCCATAACGAGGAAGCTCTTGGCCTGTATCTCACCTGATGGTAAGTGACGATCAGGCCGAAGGTGGAAGCGAGCTTCACCCGGAATCCTCAACCACGGAGGAACTGGCTATCTTACCTCTAACTGTCGGAACACAATAATGCTGTTAACATTGTTGTTATGGCGACAGACATAGGTAAGATGGTGGTAGCTAGCCAGGCGGATTTAGAACAAGCCCTACCACCAACCAAACCGAACAGAAAAATCTGCCCCCACTGGGAATCGAACCCGGGACCTCTGCATCTGAAGCAGGTGGTCTAACCGCTAGACCACAGAGGCGGTTATACGCAATATATTATGTTGATAAAACTTCCCATCTCTCGTCTCTATCTTTGAAAATCCCTGGTTGGTAAGTCTAACTTGAACGTAAAGGTCAGTTGTGACGCACCTCTTACGGTCAACTATGATAAGGTTTAAGTTCTGTATTGACCCATATCAAAGTGATCTCAATCGCGTTCTCCATAGCCCCAACTGTTTCTCTTAAAGAACGCTTTCACATTTAGGCGATTTAGGAGAGCGACAAACGCGCTGTCGAAAATTTTATACTATGTGACAGCGGATGCATGCTTTTACATTATAAAAACAAACGCCGCTGCCACGCTACTGTCGCGCTTCTAACGCCCTAATGTGAAAGCGCTCAAAGAGATGCCACATGGGCGTTAACGTTGCGGTGCGTCGCCGCAGTGGCGTCGCAACGGTGCCGCTCCGTAGTTTTTTTTCACCTATAAAACTAAACTGTGTACCATACACGCGGGTTGCGCCGTCGCAACGCAATGTCAGCGTCTATGTGGCATCTTTCACTCGGGCGTTTGTTCCAAAATGTGATTACTAATAGGCATTCCCGTGCAGGTGCACTGCCGGCACTGCGGACGCATCTTCTGCGCGGCGTGCGCGTCCCACCAGGTGCCCGCCGGCCCGCGCCGCACGCCCGCGCGCGTCTGCAGCGTGTGCCGCACGCTGCTGCAGCCACACACCGCGCCCTACTTCAGCACTGAGCCGCCGCACTCGCCCGCCTAGCAAACTATACCGAGTCGCCGCAATGAGGGCTATCGTTTTTATACCTAACAGTTGGCACCCCTGGCGATTGACAGGACCTTACCGCGCCGTAATGCAGCACCGAGTCGCCGCACTCGCCCGCCTAGCAAGCTACAGCCGCAGCAGCGTGCGGGCGTCTACCCCGTCCCAAAGNATATATATAATATTTAATAATTAGTATTAGAGCATATTACATTAAGCTGCTCTGTTATCTTTATAATAATACTGTCAAGTAACAACAAATTCGTCCTATGGCTTTTCGAATAGATGTGTAAAGTAACAGGCAAACATCAATTTGTTTTCGCAAACTATCGCACTTAAGGGACTTACCGCTATACTACCATATAATATTCCACGGGTGGGGGCCTGTAGGCCTAAGATGCGCGCCGTGATAGGTGGTTATCACGCCATTTTGTCGATTTTGCCCATACAAATTGACGTCGATAAAAGTTATCACGGCGCGCATCTTAGGCCTACTGGTGACCTGTAGAACAGGTTTTAAACAAAACCTATTTCAGGCACCAGTCCCACACAAACTTAGTATTAAGTACCTATAGCGTAATGTATTTTTTACCAAATGTAATTTAACCTAAGTTTGTGAGGGGAAATAAATGATTTATTTATTTATTATTATAATATTTTCACCAGGACTAAGTTAGCCGAGTGAAGGCAAACCGAGGAAAATTTTATAAACTTCTCGTTGTGTCCAGGTGCAGCTACAGCGCATCCGCGAGGCGGACACGGAGGTGCGCTGGCAGCACGACGACGACGTCAGCGAGTGCCCCGCCTGCCGCGCGCCGCTGCCCAACAACAAGAAGAAGGTACGCACACGAATCCTGACATGATTGCAAACGTTGTGATAGGGATAAAGACATGCAATTTTAGGTTTTACGAAGGTAATACGATAGAAAATAATACAAAGTAATAAAAACCACCGGTTATAGGGGCATTTTTGGGGGAAATTTATCAAATAACCAAAAAAACGCGAATTTAAAAGCAGATATTTTTCTAAAAGTATCAGTTTTTATTATTTGTTGGCATTTTTTGTGTATTTTATGTATTTTTTTAGTATCGCCTGTTATTTAGCATTATTACTGTTTTTATTTTATCGGGATGTACCGCTTAATTTAAAAGTTATTACGTTTTCTTTACAATAAGTAATTGAAAGAAAAAAAAATCTATATAAAATTTAAAAAAATCTCAAATTTTTTTTACCTCTTTTTTGTCGCTAAAAATAGGTCTAGTTTCATCTATTTTCATATGTACACTTTAACGTGACTCACACTGTATAGAAGTTGGTTGTAACACACCTCTTGCGGTCAACTATAATAAAATTTAGGTACCTTACTTTGTTGACCAATATCAAAGCTATCTCAATCGCATTCTCCACGGCCCCAACTGTCTTCTTTTAGACAGATGCCACATGGACGTGACGTTGCGGTGCTTCTCCGAAGTGGCAGCGGTGCCGCTCTGTAGTTTCACTTATACATCTGATCATAATGCCATATGGGCTTTACGCGCGCGTTGCGGCGCCACAGCGCAACGTCAGCGTCTATGTGGCATCTTTCACTCTGGCGTTTGTTCCAAAATGTGATAACGTAACAGGTATTCCCTTGCAGGTGCACTGCCGGCACTGCGGACGCATCTTCTGCGCGGCGTGCGCGTCCCACCAGGTGCCCGCCGGCCCGCGCCGCACGCCCGCGCGCGTCTGCAGCGTGTGCCGCACGCTGCTGCAGCCACACACCGCGCCCTACTTCAGCACTGAGCCGCCGCACTCGCCCGCCTAGCGTGCCGCCCTAGCAAGCTACAGCCGCCCACCAGGCGCGCCCAAGCAAGCTATAGCCCTGTAGCAAGCGTGCGAGCGTCTGTCCCGCCCCAAAGACGCACACCGCGCCCTACTTCAGCACCGAGCCGCCGCACTCGCCCGCCTAGCAAACTATAGCCGCAGAGTGGGCGGCACACACGTGCGAGCGTCTGCCCCGCCACATACACAGCGCCTTAATGTAGCACCGAGTCGCCGCACTCGCCCGCCTAGCGCCGGGCGCCCAAGCAAGCTACAGCCGCTGCAAGCGTGCGAACGTCTACCCCGCCCCAAAGACGTACACAGCGCCTTAATGTAGCACCGAGTCGCCGCAATCGCCCGCCTAGCGCGCCGCCCACACACGTGCGAGCGTCTGCCACGCCTCGAAGACGCACACCGCGCCTTAATGTAGCACCGAGTCGCTGCAATCGCCCGCCTAGCGTGCCGCCCACCTAGCAAGCTACAGCCACCCAGAATACATGTGCGAGCGTCTTTCCCACCTCAAAGACGCACACCGCGCCCTACTTCAGCACTGAGCCGCCGCACTCGCCCGCCTAGCGAACTATAGTCACAGAGTGGGCGGCACACACGTGCGAGCGTGCAGGCGTTTGTCCCGCCCTAAAGACGCACACCGCCCTGTAATGCGGCACTGAGTCGCCGCAATCGCCCGCCTAGCAAGCTACAGCCGCAACAGCGTGCGGGCGTCTACTCCGCCCCAAAGACGCACACCGCGCCCGCCCTGCCCGCCCGCCCTACCGCCGCCCACCAGGCGCCCAAGCAAGCTACAGCCGCAGCAGCGTGCGAGCGTCTTTCCCGCCTCGAAGACGCACACCGCCCTGTAATGCGGCACTGAGTCGCCGCACTCGCCCGCCTAGCGTGCTACAGCCCATTGCAGCCCTACAGCAAGCGTGCAGGCGTCTGCCCCGCCCCAAAGACGCACACCGCGCCGTAATACAGCACTGAGTCGCCGCAATCGCCCGCCTAGCGCCGCCCGCCTAGCAAACTATAGTCACAGAGTGGGCGGCACACACGTGCGAGCGTCTGCCACGCCTCGATGACGCACACCGCGCCTTAATGCAGCACTGAGTCGCCGCACTCGCCCGCCTAGCGTGCCGCCCGCCCTGCCGCCGCCCACCAGGCGCCCAAGCAAGCCACAGCCCTGCAGCAAGCGTGCGAACGTATGCCCTGTTCTTAAGACGCAAACCGCGCCGTAATGCAGCAGCACGGCGCCGCATTTGGCCGCCTAGCGCCGCCAGCCCTGCCCGCCCGCCCTACCCCGCCCACCAGGCGCCCAAGCAACAGCCACCCAGAATACATGTGCGAGAGTCTTTCCCACCTCAAAGACGCACACCGCGCCTTAATGTAGCAGTCTTAATGGGAGTCGCCGCAATCGCCACTCTCAACCGCCTGTCGTGCGCGTGAAAGCGTCGACCCCACCCCAGGACCGCACACAGCACCGAGCCGCTACACTCGTCCGCCTACCGCCGCTGCTGCCGAAGTGACATCCCGCGATCGGAACCTGCTGTATTGAGCTGCAGGACTTGTTCTCATCATCATCATCAACAGCCCTTTACAGTCCACTGCTGGACTATGAGCCTCCTCCCTCTACTATAGTAAAGGGTTTTGCCATGATCCCCACGCTTGGCAGGCGGGTTGGAGATCGCAGTTTGATTGATTGATGTTTTTCAGAGAGCGCTGCTGCCCGTTCTATGTTTGATATGTAGTCCCTTAGTCGCCTCTTACGACACCCGCGGGAAGAGTAGGGGTTGGTGATATAATATGTATTCTACTCTGCCGTCACCACACAGTCTTGTTCTGCAGTAGTATAACTATGACAGCTAAAGACGCACACCGCCCTGTAATGCGGCACTGAGTCGCCGCAATCGCCCGCCTAGCAAGCTACAGCCGCAACAGCGTGCGGGCGTCTACTCCGCCCCAAAGACGCACACCGCGCCCGCCCTGCCCGCCCGCCCTACCGCCGCCCACCAGGCGCCCAAGCAAGCCACAGCCGCAGCAGCGTGCGAGCGTCTTTCCCGCCTCGAAGACGCACACCGCCCTGTAATGCGGCACTGAGTCGCCGCACTCGCCCGCCTAGCGTGCTACAGCCCATTGCAGCCCTACAGCAAGCGTGCAGGCGTCTGCCCCGCCCCAAAGACGCACACCGCGCCGTAATACAGCACTGAGTCGCCGCAATCGCCCGCCTAGCGCCGCCCGCCTAGCAAACTATAGTCACAGAGTGGGCGGCACACACGTGCGAGCGTCTGCCACGCCTCGAAGACGCACACCGCGCCTTAATGCAGCACTGAGTCGCCGCGATCGCCCGCCTAGCAAACTATAGTCACAGAGTGGGCGGCACACACGTGCGAGCGTCTGCCACGCCTCGAAGACGCACACAGCGCCTTAATGTAGCACTGAGTCGCCACAATCGCCCGCCTAGCGCGCCGTCCACACGTGCGACTGCGAACCCCGCCCCAAAGTCGCACACCGCGCCCTACTTCAGCACCGAGCCGCCGCACTCGCCCGCCTAGCGTGCCGCCCGCCCTGCCGCCGCCAACCAGGCGCCCAAGCAAGCCACAGCCCTGCAGCAAGCGTGCGAACGTCTGCCCTGTTCTTAAGACGCAAACCGCGCCGTAAAATAGCACCGAGTCGCCGCAATTGCCCGCCTGCGCCGCCAGCCCTGCCCGCCCGCCCTACCCCGCCCACCAGGCGCCCAAGCAACAGCCACCCAGAATACATGTGCGAGAGTCTTTCCCACCTCAAAGACGCACACCGCGCCTTAATGTAGCAGTCTTAATGGGAGTCGCCGCAATCGCCACTCTCAACCGCCTGTCGTGCGCGTGAAAGCGTCGACCCCACCCCAGGACCGCACACAGCACTGAGCCGCTACACTCGTCCGCCTACCGCCGCTGCTGCCGAAGTGACATCTCGCGATCGGAACCTGCTGTATTGAGCTGCAGGCCTTGTTCTCATCATCATCATCAACAGCCCTTTACAGTCCACTGCTGGACTATGAGCCTCCTCCCTCTACTATAGTAAAGGGTTTTGCCATGATCCCCACGCTTGGCAGGCGGGTTGGAGATCGCAGTTTGATTGATTGATGTTTTTCAGAGAGCGCTGCTGCCCGTTCTATGTTTGATATGTAGTCCCTTAGTCGCCTCTTACGACACCCGCGGGAAGAGTAGGGGTTGGTGATATAATATGTATTCTACTCTGCCGTCACCACACAGTCTTGTTCTGCAGTAGTATAACTATGACAGCATAACTTGCGATAGCCGTCACTGTGCTAAGCATTCCATCTGAATCCTGAGCTATTAATACCTTGCGCCGCATTCGACTGTATACCGAACTGCGCAAGTTGAGCAAGACTTGACATGCACTGTTAGGTCACTCGCTAAACTAAGCGACGCGACAGCTGCATGAGTTGCTAATAATAATAATCGGATAAACAAAGTACCAGTTTTTAATGCTATAGTACCAAAATCCGGATCCACGTCATTCTTGAGCCATTATATACTCAACATCAAATAAACCGCACCTTCCGCGACGCGAACTTTAACGATTTTCTTCTGACACAATCATGGTGCCCCAACAATATTGGTGTTATTTGAAAGCCCAATAAATATCCTTAAAGAAAAACACATTTAATTTCTATATAAATGATTAACATATACCATAAATGTGACTTGAAAAAATACCTCACTTTGGGCCCACCTATGGGATCAATTAGACCAATTTTTATGGTTATAAAACCAAATAATGATCTCACATGTCCTCTTTAACAGATTGATAGCGATTAATCCCAACTTAACAGTTTTATACCCATAAAAGTTGGCTTTAGCGTAACTACCTATTTTTTGAAGAAGTGATTCTGGATCCTTCCCTAGACACATTTTTGGGGTAAAAACCTTTCATTTAATGAAATGAAGGTTAGAACTAGGCTTTTAAATGGTGCCAATATTGGTGGGAAGTGGGGATGCATACGTTTGAAAATGCTTGTCGAGGGAGGTGCGATTTATTTGATGTTACGTGCACAGTCCGTCGTTGACAATTCACCTACCCCACAAATGACTGATGGACTCACGCGGTCGCCGGTCTGATCGCGCTGGGAGCCCGACGTATGACGCTGCTCAAGGCTCGCTAGCAATCGCAGATGTGATAAGTTTTTGTTCATTAATATAGCTTAGATAGCTAGAAAATTTTAGATATCTATAATTTAGGCTCTAAATATAGTCTACCTTATAAGTAGAAACACTTTAGACTTACGATTTGGAATTGATAGATATCAATTTTAATTTGATGTGGTTTTGATGTCTTATAATTTATTTATTATAAAACTGAACTAAAAATTATTTTCATGTTAAACAGAGATAAAACAATGATCATTGCATGGGCCAGTAATTAAAGCAGTGTACAAATTACTATTTATTAAATTGAATACATTTTTTTTGTTCATTAAAGCAAGTTATTAAATTCGGACCATTGGTAAAAATTATATTATGTTAATGAATTTGTGAGAAAAATCAACTCTAGCAATTTAAAATTTACAAGTCAAGTAAAGTATGAAATGCTGGACACTCATATAATATGTATAAAATAGGATTAATATCTATATGTACTATGCATTAGCTAGCATGTAGTTCAGTCAATTTAAAATGCCAACAACGGTTGCTTAACACATATTGTTATTAATGAGTGGCACTTGTGCCTTTGCGTATTGTAGACAGATCTATATTTCAATATTTTATTTATCTATATATTTTTATTTATATAGAGGTACAAAAACGTGTATGAAATATTATCTGGCCACATTGTTGGGTTTATTGTTACGTAGTAACAAAGTGTAATACTTTTTTAACGTTATTTAGTTATTATTTATTTAAGCTACATAATAGTTTATATCGCCTGCGGATTTTCTCATATTTTTGCTTGTGTGAAGAGAAGTTTGTTATTATGTACTTTTAGTGTCGGTATTTGATAGTACTACTCTTACAAATGATACAGATTCCGGGTCAAATGTAGTATATTAATAGATCTAGACATCAAAAAATAGTTTACAGTGAAGAACAGTACCCTGTTATATGTCTAAACATCGATAATATTGGTTCGTGTGGCGTACTGGTTTTCATATTTTTGAAATAATGGCAATGAATGAAATAATAATAGGTAAACTTCGATCCGTATCAATAGGGATGTGGATATATGTTTCAATTTTGTTAAGTTAAATAAGTGGTGATATTTGATGATAAAAAGTAATTCTATACGATGTGTTTATAAGGTAACATAAAAGTGGTGTCCAACTGTCCATATCCACGGTAATATAGTTCCAAAATACTGGACTGTCCTGTCGATGACATTGACAGTGGGGCGCCACCGTCAATACCGGATCGCTGGTGTTCAAATTTTAGCCATGTTGGAAACCATATAGTTGAACGATGGTAGCGCCCCCCTGTCATTGAGTTTGGCGGGACAGTTCAGCGTGGGTCATCTATAATATNGTAAACGCTCTTAAACAATTTTCAACTGCAATGCGATTAGACGACGAACGAAAACCAGAATTTTGACAAATCAGTATCGCGGTATCGTTTTGACAGTTAGTTCAAACGACGTTAAAATGTAAACGGAGCGCAACTGCGCCTTTACGTAAAAGCTGACAGAAAGCTATTTTTTCTCAAACGCATGTCGAACGCTTCACATACTTTTGCTGAAATAAGATGTTCGGACTTTTAATGGAAAGAACATATATCTGTTGTTTCGTCTTTACCGTTACCGCGCGAACTTTACCGTGATACCGAATTGCACTTCGGCTGAAATGTAAATGGAGGGCAAGTCATGCGCAACTGGCGATAAAACGTAAGTGAATCCAGCTGGATAGATGAGGCGTAGTGACAGCGCCATAGTTGTGTTTCTTTTAGGCTAGCGGCAGTTGAGGAAGCCAGGGGAAAAGTGACAACGGCCACGTAATTTAATGAGCGATCAAAACTGATATGACATCGTTGTTTCAGTTTAGAAAGGGACAACGCGTATCTCATCGGCCAGTACACGAAGAAAGCGGCGGAATTACAGAACGAATTTATAGATCTCCCGGATAACGTCGAGGTAAACACATTTATGTCGCTTTACCTGGCAAGCGCAAACTTGTCCCTTTACTTACTGACCTGTATCATTACATACTGGACTGTTTGCTGTCATAATATTTCTGTATCTATTTGAGTTTGGCCACAGAATATTAATAAGTACTACGTACAGAAGGTTTTCTTCGCGATGGTATTTAAAAAAATATATGCTCAATGTCGTCAACAATATGGTGTAATTTAGCTTGTCTCAAGAGTCGAGCACCGTTTTCTTGACATACGTCAGTGATCGGTACTATGCCGATTCCATATGACTGACTTCGGTAAAATAATGTGTGACGTGAAGTGCCAAACTGCGGAAAATGGCGGAGGAAATACACATTACAATGCAAATGGGTGAAGAATACACGTGCGTCGTGCGTGCGTCAATGCTCGCTCTTGAGTGTCCTGTCGAAAAAATATCCCAGTAGGTACAGTCCCGCGTGTTTTGTTTTCGATGCAAACTCGCGAATATGAACAGGCCTGGTTTGGCGCTGTAGGCCATACTGTAGTCAAATAAGATTGTCCATGGATCTAAAATTAGTGATGTTCTAACTTACTCCTTGCAATGTACGTCAAAATTAGTTCTCGGGATAATCGTAGTGGCGCTTCAAATTGTCACACAAAATTAGCTGGCATTTGTATGGAGACAGCCTGCCCAATATGCAATAATACAGGTCAGTGTTTTCACTCTATGTTGTGTAAAATAAAACGTTTCTGTACAGGAATTACAAGAGTTGGCGCTGCGCCTGCGCGAGCAGATGATCGTGTGCGCGGTCGGGCGCGAGGAGGCCGCGCGCGCCGAGCACGAGCTGCGCGCGCAGTTGTTAGAGCACACGCGCCTGCTGCACCAGCACGACGCCGCGCTGGCCGCCGCGCGCGCCGAGCACAGCGACGCCAGGTGGGAGCACACAGTCACAGCAGCCACAGGAGCCGAGCACGAGCTGCTGCAGCACACGCGCCTGCTGCACCAGCACGACGCCGCGCTGGCCGCCGCGCGCGCCGAGCACAGCGACGCCAGGTGGGAGCACACAGTCACAGGAGCCACAGGAGCCGAGCACGAGCTGCTGGAGCACACGCGCCTGCTGCACCAGCACGACGCCGCGCTGGCCGCCGCGCGCGCCGAGCACAGCGACGCCAGGTGGGACATCCGAGCCTGGCTCCCGTGGGAAGTCCGCACTCTCAAGACACACGCACCGATCACCCGGCAGGATTCCGAGCGAATCTTGCTGTGTTTTTTGTTGTTTTCGTTCATCTACAGCAGTGGTTCCCAAACTTATTTAGTCTACTGCCCACTTTGAGAATAAATTATTTTTTAGCGCCCCCCATTTTTGTAGTCAAGAGTCGAGCTCAGTCGATGTCTAAGAGTCCTCCTAGTAGATGACGCCTCCCAAGCCTCTACACAACGTCCCGATTTTTTTTCTGGGTCTCTTACCGCCCCCCTTTAAGCCTGCAGCGCCCACAAGGGGGCGTTATCGCCCACTTTGGGAAAGACTGATCTACAGGTATCCCTGAAATGTGGAATGACCTTTGACGGATCACGTCTAGTGTTTTGGTTACGAGTTTATGTTTTCGGCAGGAAAGAACTGGAGCAGCTGCAGACGGAGCGAGGCCAGCTGTCGGAGCTCGGGGACAAACTGCGGGCCGCCAACGATCTCACGGAACAGCTGCTTGATGACAAGGTAACGCAACAGTTAAACTGCAAACAGTCATATGGCGCGGGAAAATAAGCCTAATAGCCGCAATGGATGCCCGCGCATAATTTTTTTTTTTCCGAAAAATAATTACGATTACGATTTGTTCTATATACCTTATAGTAAATTGGCGACACCTTTCAATTTGATCATATATTATGCATTTGTTCCTTCTACAGCGGCGGCTGGCGGCGGAGGCGGCCGAGCTTCGCGGGCGCGTGGGCGCGCTGCAGCAAGAGCTCGACAACAGCGAGAAGGTGCAGCAGGACTTCGTGCGCCTCTCGCAGTCGCTGCAGGTGAGCTAGCATGCTGCGGGCGAGCTGGCATGCTGCAGGCGAGCTAGCATGCTGCAGGCGAGCTAGCATGCTGCAGGCGAGCTATAAAGGTTATAAGGAATGGGCTAGAAGAAGGCCGCAACCGACCACCAATCTTGATACATTGAGGCCTTTGTTCAGTGGTGGACGTGCTGTGACTTAAATAATGATTTTGACCCATATTTTCACCAGGACTAGGTCAGCTGAGTGAAGGCAAACCGAGGAAAATGAAATAAACTTTCCGTTGTGTGCAGGTGCAGCTACAGCGAATCCGCGAGGCGGACACGGAGGTGCGCTGGCAGCACGACGACGACGTCAGCGAGTGCCCCGCCTGCCGCGCGCCGCTGCCCAACAACAAGAAGAAGGTACGCACAAGAGTGCTGACATGATAATTTTTTTTTTTTTTTTTTTTATCCATAACGAGGAAGCTCTTGGCCTGTATCTCACCTGATGGTAAGTGACGATCAGGCCGAAGGTGGAAGCGAGCTTCACCCGGAATCCTCAACCACGGAGGAACTGGCTATCTTACCTCTAACTGTCGGAACACAATAATGCTGTTAACATTGTTGTTATGGCGACAGACATAGGTAAGATGGTGGTAGCTAGCCAGGCGGATTTAGAACAAGCCCTACCACCAACCAAACCGAACAGAAAAATCTGCCCCCACTGGGAATCGAACCCGGGACCTCTGCATCTGAAGCAGGTGGTCTAACCGCTAGACCACAGAGGCGGTTATACGCAATATATTATGTTGATAAAACTTCCCATCTCTCGTCTCTATCTTTGAAAATCCCTGGTTGGTAAGTCTAACTTGAACGTAAAGGTCAGTTGTGACGCACCTCTTACGGTCAACTATGATAAGGTTTAAGTTCTGTATTGACCCATATCAAAGTGATCTCAATCGCGTTCTCCATAGCCCCAACTGTTTCTCTTAAAGAACGCTTTCACATTTAGGCGATTTAGGAGAGCGACAAACGCGCTGTCGAAAATTTTATACTATGTGACAGCGGATGCATGCTTTTACATTATAAAAACAAACGCCGCTGCCACGCTACTGTCGCGCTTCTAACGCCCTAATGTGAAAGCGCTCAAAGAGATGCCACATGGGCGTTAACGTTGCGGTGCGTCGCCGCAGTGGCGTCGCAACGGTGCCGCTCCGTAGTTTTTTTTCACCTATAAAACTAAACTGTGTACCATACACGCGGGTTGCGCCGTCGCAACGCAATGTCAGCGTCTATGTGGCATCTTTCACTCGGGCGTTTGTTCCAAAATGTGATTACTAATAGGCATTCCCGTGCAGGTGCACTGCCGGCACTGCGGACGCATCTTCTGCGCGGCGTGCGCGTCCCACCAGGTGCCCGCCGGCCCGCGCCGCACGCCCGCGCGCGTCTGCAGCGTGTGCCGCACGCTGCTGCAGCCACACACCGCGCCCTACTTCAGCACTGAGCCGCCGCACTCGCCCGCCTAGCAAACTATACCGAGTCGCCGCAATGAGGGCTATCGTTTTTATACCTAACAGTTGGCACCCCTGGCGATTGACAGGACCTTACCGCGCCGTAATGCAGCACCGAGTCGCCGCACTCGCCCGCCTAGCAAGCTACAGCCGCAGCAGCGTGCGGGCGTCTACCCCGTCCCAAAGACGTACACAGCGCCTTAATGTAGCACCGAGTCGCCGCAATCGCCCGCCTAGCGCGCCGCCCACACACGTGCGAGCGTCTGCCACGCCTCGAAGACGCACACCGCGCCTTAATGTAGCACTGAGTCGCCGCACTCGCCCGCCTAGCAAACTATAGTCACAGAGTGGGCGGCACACACGTGCGAGCGTCTTTCCCGCCTCGAAGACGTACACCGCGCCTTAATGTAGCACCGAGTCGCCGCACTCGCCCGCCTAGCAAGCTACGGCCGCAGCAGCGTGCTGGCGTCTACTCCGCCCCAAAGACGCACACCGCGCCCGCCCTGCCCGCCCGCCCTACCGCCGCCCACCAGGCGCCCAAGCAAGCCACAGCCGCAGCAGCGTGCGAGCGTCTTTCCCGCCTCGAAGACGCACACCGCCCTGTAATGCGGCACTGAGTCGCCGCACTCGCCCGCCTAGCGTGCTACAGCCCATTGCAGCCCTACAGCAAGCGTGCAGGCGTCTGCCCCGCCCCAAAGACGCACACCGCGCCGTAATACAGCACTGAGTCGCCGCAATCGCCCGCCTAGCGCCGCCCGCCTAGCAAACTATAGTCACAGAGTGGGCGGCACACACGTGCGAGCGTCTGCCACGCCTCGAAGACGCACACAGCGCCTTAATGTAGCACTGAGTCGCCACAATCGCCCGCCTAGCGCGCCGTCCACACGTGCGACTGCGAACCCCGCCCCAAAGTCGCACACCGCGCCCTACTTCAGCACCGAGCCGCCGCACTCGCCCGCCTAGCGTGCCGCCCGCCCTGCCGCCGCCAACCAGGCGCCCAAGCAAGCCACAGCCCTGCAGCAAGCGTGCGAACGTCTGCCCTGTTCTTAAGACGCAAACCGCGCCGTAAAATAGCACCGAGTCGCCGCAATTGCCCGCCTAGCCCTGCCCGCCCGCCCTACCCCGCCCACCAGGCGCCCAAGCAACAGCCACCCAGAATACATGTGCGAGAGTCTTTCCCACCTCAAAGACGCACACCGCGCCTTAATGTAGCAGTCTTAATGGGAGTCGCCGCAATCGCCACTCTCAACCGCCTGTCGTGCGCGTGAAAGCGTCGACCCCACCCCAGGACCGCACACAGCACTGAGCCGCTACACTCGTCCGCCTACCGCCGCTGCTGCCGAAGTGACATCTCGCGATCGGAACCTGCTGTATTGAGCTGCAGGACTTGTTCTCATCATCATCATCAACAGCCCTTTACAGTCCACTGCTGGACTATGAGCCTCCTCCCTCTACTATAGTAAAGGGTTTTGCCATGATCCCCACGCTTGGCAGGCGGGTTGGAGATCGCAGTTTGATTGATTGGTGTTTTTCAGAAAGCGCTGCTGCCCGTTCTATGTTTGATATGTAGTCCCTTAGTCGCCTCTTACGACACCCGCGGGAAGAGTAGTGGTTGGTGACATAATATGTATTCTACTCTGCCGTCACCACACAGTCTTGTTCTGCAGTAGTATAACTATGACAGCTTAACTTGCGATAGCCGTCACTGTGCTAAGCATTCCATCTGAATCCTGTGCTATTTTAATGCCGCGCCACATTCGAGTGTATACCAACTGCGCAAGACGACTTGACATGCACTGTTAGGTCACTCGATAAACTAAGCGACGCGACGCAGCTGCATGGGTTGCTAATTATAATAATCGGGTATATACGTACCAGTTTTTAATGCTTTAGTACCAAAATCCGGATCCACGTCATTCTTGAGCCATTATATTACGTGCACAGTCCGTCGTTGACACTTCACCTACCCCACAAATGCCCGACGTATGACGCTGCTCAAGGCTCGCTAGCAATCGCAGATGTGATAAGTTTTTGTTCATTAATATAGCTTAGCTAGAAAATTTTAGATATCTATAATTTAGGCTCTAAATATAGTCTACCTGAAAGTAGAAACACTTTAGACTTACGATGTGGAATTGATAGTTATATCAATTTTAATTTGATGTGGTTTTGATGTCTTATAATTTATTTATTATAACACTGAACTAAAAAAATGTTTCATGTTAAAATGAGATAAAACAATGATCATTGCATGGGCCCATAATAAAAGCATTGTACAAATTACTATTTATTAAATTTAATAGATTTTTTTTGTTCATTAAAACAAGTAATTAAATTCGGACCTTTGGTAAAAATTATATTATGTTAATGAATTTGTGAGAAAAATCAACTCTAGCAATTTAAAATTTACAAGTCAAGTAAATTATGACACTCAATAATATGTATAAAATAAGATTATTAACTATGCTGTGCATTAGCTAGTACGAAGTTCAGTCAATTTAAAATGCCAACAAAGGTTGCTTCTCACATATTGTTATTTATGAGTGGCACTTGTGCCTTTGCGTGTTGTAAAGCCTGGTCCGTGAGCACGTAGAATGACCCATCCTTATTGCTCGCGCGTAATTATATTGCTGTCGCGACTGTGCGACGCGCGCCCACAGTGAGAGTGCGAGCGCAACAGCAACATAATTACGCGCGAGCGATAAGGATGGGTAGCTTGGGGTCATTGGACAAAATTCTACGTGCTCACGGACCAGGCTTTAGAGGCTATATATCAATATTTTATTTATCAATTTATATGTAGAGGTACAAACGTGTATGTTTTTTTTTCTACTACCCACAGGTGTTTCTACATACGATGAAATATTATCTGGCCACATTGTTGGGTTTATTGTTACGTAGTAGCAAAGTGTAATACTTTTTTAACGTTATTTAGTTATTATTTATTTAAGCTACATAATATTTTACTTTTAAAGTTTATATCGCCTGCGGATTTTCTCATATTTTTGCTTGTGTGAAGAGAAGTTTGTTATTACTTTTAGTGTCGGTATTTGATAGTAGGTACTACTCTTATAAATGATACAGATTCCGGGTCAAATGTAGTATATTAATAGATCTAGATATCAAAAAATAGTTTACAGTGAAGAACAGTACCCTGTTATATGTCATCGATAATATTGGTTCGTGTGGCGTACTGGTTTTCATATTTTTGAAATAATGGCAATGAATGAAATAATAATAGGTAAACTTCGATCCGTATCAATAGGGATGTGGATATATGTTTCAATTTTGTTAAGTTAAATAAGTGGTGATATTTGATGATAAAAAGTAATTCTATACGATGTGTTTATAAGGTAACATAACAGTGGTGTCCATATCCCTATTGCTAAATAAGTGAACGAGTATAGTTACGCGCCATGTCTCGAACGATTGTAAGTTGTAAAATAAGTATATTTTATTGTAAATACAAGAGCTATGGTTACAAAAACTTGCTATTGTTATTTTTATCCCCTCCACTTTTTAGGATTCCGTAGTCCTGACAAGGAGCCCTTATAGTTTCGTCATGTCCGTCCGTCTGTCTGTCTGTCCATCCGAGGTTTTGCTTAGAGACTGTTGGAACTAGAGAGCTGTAATTTTATGGAGGTATGTATTCACAAACGATGCTTGCTTAAGTGAAGCAGCAAAACGAACGCACAGCGTTGAATAGAGCTCAGTGATTGGTTCGTATGTCACCCTGTGCGTCCACGAGCACTGTGAGACCTCATAGTAATGTTTGTGAATACGGGCGTTATCGTTATAGAATAAAATTATGAAAAATAAAACATTTTTTAGGGTAGCTCCCCTCCTAATGTAAAGTGGGGATGAATTTTTTATATACTGAACTTTAAACTTGAGTGAGAAAGTGTTTCCACTGTCGCATTTACATCAAAAGTTTCAAACAAATCATTTATAGATGACCCACGCTGAACTGTCCCACCAAACTCAATGACAGGGGGGCGCTACTATCGTTCAACTATATGGTTTCCAACATGGCAAAAATCGGAACCAGCGATCCGGTATTGACGGTGGCGCCCCACTGTCAATGTCATCGATAGGACAGTCCAGTATTTTGGAACTTATATTTCAGTTTCCATTTCGCCGACAATAAAACTGTCACCTAACACTTAGGGGGCCGGAAATCGGGACCTTAAAAAAAATGATGATCCCTTATGGCCTAAGGTGCCCCTTAGGTGTTGGTTATTCCTGTTAGGTGTTACCTAATATTTCATAGGAATCTCTTAAAAATTAATGGTGAAATAAAATACTCTTCACTCGACTAAATTACTCGACTAGTGCGAACAGAATTTCCGGTTTACATCACTATAAGAAAAAATAAAAACTTTGTTTATGGCTCTGTCTGTTGTCTGTCAATGTCAAATATGTCAAAATACTTCTTTCGCGTTGATGTTGTGATGCGCTGTTTGGCGCTTTAATATTTACGTTGAAGGAGCTTAATTCATTAAATTTTTGATGAAACAGTGAATAAAATATGAAAATGCCGGCGTTTTTGAAGTATATAGACATGGAGAATTTCAAGTCCTACCGGGGCCATCACCGGATAGGACCTCTGAAGTCCTTCACTGCTGTTGTAGGTCCCAATGGCTCAGGTGAGAGCTTGGCTGACTTAAAACTACTTAATCAAATCAGTACTAAGTCTTTAATGTATAAATTGACAATCTAATCAAGCTAGTGTACTCTGCTAAATATCATTTTTGGAAATGGGTCAACAATGAACCTATGTGTACCTGTTGCTGTTACTTTGTTGTATATATTCTGATATAGTTACCATTAAAACAACTAAAATACTAAATGTTTCTACTCAATTAACGAATATCTAACTACTGACCACCGAAAATGTCTCTAGATACTTTAATTTGTAATCTGCTTGTTTTGTTATTTTTTAGCATCGAAGTATGCAATTATGTTACTTCTCATATTATGTATAATGTATATAGCCACCTACTCTGTTGCAATACCTCCTAGGTCACTAAGTCTTAAGCCCATGTGTATGTAATTTCCACCATTACAATAATTGTCACTTAGTATGCAATAAAGATTTGAATTTGAATTTGAATAATTGACCATATGTATAGGGAAATATTATTCCTTGGTGAGTGTTTAAGTAGTATAAAACTTTGACAGGAAAATCAAATTTTATGGATGCTGTGAGTTTTGTGATGGGTGAGAAGACTTCCTTGCTCCGTGTGAAGCGCCTCAGTGACCTGATCCACGGCGCCTCCATCAACAAGCCAGTGTCACGCTGGTAATGTAAAGCTTGGAGATAAAGCAGACCTATTACAATAATAACTTAGTAAAGACAATATTTACAAGTTGCTGTAGAACTTTATCATTTCAATTGTTGCATTGTGCTATGTTTATGTCACGAATGTCTCAAAATAAACTCTTACCCCCTTATTAATAAAAAGTTACACCTAGCATGAACACTGGATTAAAATGATCATCATTATTTTCTGCCATAGGATGGACTTGAGTTTCTTTCGCTGCTTCTTGTCAGCACTGGCCCATTTATTGTCCCGAAGCAGTGGTAGAGTTATCCCTTAACCGCCTACCATACGTCTCACAGACCCTGTCGATATAATAATTGTGAATATTTTTGTGCTGGAGTGTTNGCCGTTGCCATAAAAAAAGAAGAAGAAGAAGAAGTATTTACGTTGAAGGAGCTTAATTCATTAAATTTTTGATGAAACAGTGAATAAAATATGAAAATGCCGGCGTTTTTGAAGTATATAGACATGGAGAATTTCAAGTCCTACCGGGGCCATCACCGGATAGGACCTCTGAAGTCCTTCACTGCTGTTGTAGGTCCCAATGGCTCAGGTGAGAGCTTGGCTGACTTAAAACTACTTAATTCAAATCAGTACTAAGTCTTTAATGTATAAATTGACAATCTAATCAAGCTAGTGTATGTAACTCTGCTAAATATCATTTTTGGAAATGGGTCAAAAATGAACCTATGTGTACCTGTTGCTGTTACTTTGTTGTATATTCTGATATAGTTACCTTTAAAGCAACTAAAATACTAATGAATAATTGACCATATGTATAGGGAAATATTATTCCTGGGTGAGTGTTTAAGTAATATAAAACTTTGACAGGAAAATCAAATTTTATGGATGCTGTGAGTTTTGTGATGGGTGAGAAGACTTCCTTGCTCCGTGTGAAGCGCCTCAGTGACCTGATCCACGGCGCCTCCATCAACAAGCCAGTGTCACGCTGGTAATGTAAAGCTTGGAGATAAAGCAGACCTATTACAATAATAACTTAGTAAAGACAATATTTACAAGTTGCTGTAGAACTTTGTCATTTCAATTGTTGCATTGTGCTATGTTTATGTCACGAATGTCTCAAAATAAACTCTTACCCCCTTATTAATAAAAAGTTACACCTAGCATGAACACTGGATTAAAATGATCATCATTATTTTCTGCGATAGGATGTCCACTACCACAATTATAGTGACTTGAGTTTCTTGCGCTGCTTCTTGTCAGCACTGGCCCATTTATTGTCCCGAAGCAGTGGTAGAGTTAATACTAGGATGTGTAAAAGTGCTTTTTAAAAGCCTTTTTGCAAAAATAAATGAGTTTTATGAGTTTTTTACTGCTGAACATGATATTTCCATACTAAACTTATTTCCAACTAGGGTGTAATGCCTAGATAATAAATGTTGATAAACTTTGTACCTATTTTGCAGTGCGTCTGTGACGGCCACATTTGTGCTGGAAGACATGACTGAGAAGCAGTTCATGCGGTCTGTGGTGGGACAGTCATCTGAGCACAAAATTGATGGACAGGTAAGGTTATTTTTCAATCAAATGCTTGAGAATGTAAGCCTAAAGAAAAGAAGTATGTAGTTTTATCTGGAGTTGTGCCTAGCAAATGATATTTTGCTAACTTAGTAGGGTTTTGAATTTTTGCAAGCATTTACTTGAAAGAAAACTAAAGCCAGTCTTACCTGGTCCTTAATAATAAAAATTTCACAACATATTGCTGTTTATTACAGATTTGATTCCTGTTTTTAAACACAATTTTTAAGTATTTTGTAGTGTCTACAATCTATAATATAAAAATGAATCGCAAAATGTGTTGGTAAGCAGTGTAAGCACATTTTGTACTCCAAGCATGGTTTTTACGGCTAGAAAAATTCGAATAATTTCCGAGAAATCCCCGGGCGAAGCCGCAGGCGGAAAGCTAGTACTAAATATGTATTTATTTACTAACCACCTTTGTCTATTGCAGTCGGTGTCGGTGAGCAGCTACCTGGGCGAGCTGGAGAAGCTGGGCATCAATGTAAAGGCCAAGAACTTCCTGGTGTTCCAGGGCGCCGTCGAGAGCATCGCCATGAAGAACCCCAAAGAGAGAACTGCGCTCTTTGAAGAGATCAGTGGGTACGTATCTGGAGCTCAATATGAGATGATCCCAAGCGATAGATTGAAATAAACACTTGTTTAAATTTTATTAATAACATGTTTACATTTCCTGGTTGGTACCAATAGTAAATGTTGTGCTTGTTTGAGTCCAATTTAAAATGTGTAAAATATCCAAGGATTATTTTTTTGCTTGTGTCAGGATGTGAGCAGGTTGGACTATTAGTAAACACTCTGTTGCTGGTTCATATCTGGCTCAAAGGACCATATTTATTGTTTAGTGTGATAATTGCAATAGAGCTAGTTAATTAATGGAGGTCTATGAGATTTATGCATGTACATATTCGCATCGCCTCTCACCTCTCATGGCCCTACTTCCGATTTGTCGGTATTGCAACCGTTGCACGTTGCGTTTTCCGGTACGCGGCCTCCACTCCAGAATCTTGCTGCCCCATCGGCCGTCAATTCTTCGTACCTGCCTATTGCCACTTCAGCTTGCTAATCCGTCGGGCTATGTCAGCGACTTTAGTTTGTTTACGGATCTCCTCATTCTGATTCGATCTCGCAAAGAAACACCTAGCATAGACCATAGCACGCTGTGCAATTTTGAGCTTCTTTATAAGGCCTATATTGAGAATATCCCACCACCACCCATGGTTCTTCCTGCCTCACGGCGTGCGAACCGAATCTCGTGCGAGCGCGCGGGTACTTGCTCTGGGCTCTTTTCCCCGGGCGCTTTGCTTGACTTCCTACAAATTTCTCTGATCCATGTCCTTTCTCTTAGGAAATTCTCCCCCTTCTGGGGCTTGACACCACAAATACGGTACTTCGCGTCGGGCTGCTATCGTTGATAAATGTCTATATTGAGAAGTGAGTTATCTAGATATACAGGGTGTTATGTAAATGGGTATATGGGTATGTTAACATGGTCATATAAATGGTATGGTGAAGTCAGAAAATTGATATCTTCATTTTAATTATCATACAAATCGGATTTTATAAAATTTATTTTGTATACAAATTAAAAAAATTAAAATGATGATATCAAATTTCTGACTTCACCATACCATTTATATGACCATGTTAACATGGGCTAGTGTCGGCTCATATACCCATATACCTAACACCCTGTATATATTTATCTACGACAACTCAAAGGTGACTGACTGACGGCCGAATACTGAAACGCCATTTAAATATTTGACGGCTTCTCAAATAGTTAAGCAGCTCCTAAACTTACATTTCGCATACTCAAAACAATATCTGAGCAGTTCTCAATTTTTAAGCACCTCTCAAATTAAGTTGCACTCAAACGCCACTTAAATGAATTTTCGCATACTGAAACGCCATTCAACGCTAAGCATTACTCAAACAACTGTCAAATCGTCTTAAGCAGCTGTTAAATTTGAGAGTGCTTGCGCGGTATCTTAAATCCTATTGTTATACCTAAAACGACCTAAATACTTAGTGGTAAATCATGTGTGTCATCGTTATCATTTCTTTCGAGCCTCGAGGAAATACCTAGATCTAATCGCAGGAACGCAATAAGGCTGAACGCTATTGAAAAATATTAATATAATGACATGCAATTCCGAGCGATGTTCCGCGTCTCTAAAGAAACGGTGTTGTTTCTGGATTCATAATTTGGAAGCTCTTTGAAACCCCTCACCAAATGCCATACCTACAACCAGTGGACCAAATACTTATTATAACCCTACTGTTCTACGCAATGGGAAGTTATGAACGTGTACTAGGTGATATCTTCCACATCTAACAGCCAACTGTGCATCGTATAGTGCACGAAGTAACAACCAAAATAGCTGCTATGAAATCGCTTTACATAAACATGCCTATTTCTGAGGATTAAGGGGACATCGCATAGCAGCATTTCCAAGAGTTGTTGATTTGTCAATTTGATGCTCTGTCAGTCAACAATGATAAATGTCAATTGTGGTTACGTTTCGGTCCACGATCGCCACTTAATAGATTTCAACAATAAAAAGTATCATATAAATTGCAAGCTAAATAAAAGCTTGTAATAAAGTCGGGTTTGTTCAAATTTCGAGAACGACTGAACCGACAAAAGCATTAGAAAATTTACGAAAAATAAAATAAAATTTTATCCCGTACAAAATGTTCATGGATTTTGTTATTTTTATTAAATACCTTTACGCCTGAGTTAAAAATGACACCGACATCAAGGTTCATCAATTTAAGTTTAAAATAATAGGCAGTAATGTATGAAGAAAGAGCTTCTATTCTGTATCTACCTATGCCCGTGTATTTTTGATCGGTGTCAAATCGGAGTTTTTGGTGCGGGGTACGCGGGTGTTGCTCGCGGCGTGAAGGTCAAACGCCCAAGGTCATTGAGGACTCTAATCGCCTTAACTAATCAAGTTCTATGAGATTTATGCGTGTACATATTCGTATCGCCTCTCACCTCTCATGGCCCCCCGATTTGTCGGTATTGCAACCGTTGCACGCTGCGTTTTCCGGTACGCGGCCTCCACTCCAGGACCTTGCTGCCCCACCGGCCGTCAGTTCTTCGTACCTGCATATTGCCACTTTAGCTTGCTAATCCGTCGGGCTATGTCAGCGACTTTAGTTTGTGTACGGATCTCATTTCTGATTTGATCTCGCAAAGAAACGTCTCGCAAAGACCTCTCCATAGCACGCTGTGCAATTTTGAGCTTCTTTATAAGGCCTATATTGAGAATATGGTTTTTGTTGGTTCTTCCTGCCTCACGGCGTATGAACCGAATCTCGGGAGAGCGCGCGGGTATTTGCTCTGGGCTCTTTTCCCCGGGCGCTTTGCTTGACTCCCTACAAACTTCTCTGATCCATGTCCCTTCTCTTAGGCAATTCTCCTCCTTCTGGGGCTTGACACCTCAAATACGGTACTTCGCGTCGGGCTGCTATCGTTGATAAATGTCTATATTGAGAAGTGAGTTATCTAAATATGTATATATATTTATCTACGACAACTCAAAGGTGACTGACTGACTGATAATAGTGATCTATCAACGCACAGCCCAAACCACTGGACGAATCGGGCTGAAACTTGGTATGCAGGTAGATATAATGACGTAGGCCTCCGCTAAGATAAGGATTTTACGAAACTCCATCCTTACGGGGGAAAAACGGGACCCACGCGTACGAAGTCGCGAGCGGCCGCTAGTTAAACAAGAAATGCTTGCAGGTCGGGCGTGCTAAAGGAGCAGTACGAGGCGTGCCGCGCGGAGGTGAACCGCGCCGACGAGGAGGCGCAGTTCTCGTACCAGAAGAAGAAGGGCGTGGCGGCCGAGCGCAAGGAGGCCAAGTTCGAGAAGGAGGAGGCCGAGAAGTACACGCGCCTTAAGCAGGAGCTGGTGAGATGCTTACTTATTACCTATAATAATAATATAAGCCTTTATTACTGGATTAAAAGATATTTTACAACATTATTTAACTATTTTATTTTACTATTTAGCTACCCAAGTAACATTTTACTCCATTTAAGAGTTCAATAGTCGTTCACATATACTCCACAAGCTGTGTATGTCAGCTGTATACGAGCTGTATAGCTTGCTATAATGCTTTTATAGAACCAGTTTGGGCACAAATTAGACAGCTTTAAGTTCACTATGGCTGTACATTAGCAGTATAATAGCATTATAATAGCAGTTTAAGTAGTAACATCGTACTTAAGGCTGACTTACGGCACTATATGGGACGCAGTGTGAACCATACGATAAAGAGGACAATAAAGAGTAACAAGTGGCTAAATGCACAGCTTTCAAAGTTATAAAGTCCGACAAAAGTACTCCAATGCTACCTAAAGTTCACGTGTGTCTTAAATTATTTCCACATTTTAATATTAGTTTGGTATTTGTACGTGAGTGCCAAGAGGGAAACAACTCGGGCGGATAATCATTTATGCAAATAATAACACGGGTTTTTAATACTTAATAATGTTAATGCCATTGGGAATGCAACTTTATCGTGAAATGTATACATATTTACAGCTAAAATATTTACGCGCCTCTGTAAAAACGCGATATTCATTTTAAAATATTTAAAACTGGCTGAGAGGAAATCTACAATTTTCAGTTTTTGATATTGGATTGGCATTATAATTATATTACGGTAATTAATTATAACATGAAACCAAAACTCAATCGCTCTATCTGCGAATTTTGTGATAAATCTGCATTAATTTTGGAGATTTATTTGGTAAATATTTTAGGTTATGTAGAACAAAATGGTGGAAATGAAATACGGCTATGTGAACTGTTATAACTCCAATTTAATGCGGTGAGCGTATATTAGGTTCACATGTGTTCTGTTAGAATGCTGTTATCTATATGAAGTTCCACATTTGTACCACTACAGCGCTAATGTCTATAAATTTATTCTAATGTGAACTTATGTACAGCTTTAAGATGTACCTAGTTCAGGTCAATTGTGTATCTTTAATTCTTTCAAATACTGAAATTTTAGAGATCCGCAATAAAAATTATTAATGTCCGTTAAATCGCCTAGCCCAGGTACTAATAGTCAAGTATGAATACCTAAAGCATCAGACGGTAGTGTTCCCGGTTTAAATTCGTTTATTATGCTTGACAATTTATTCAAAGCGGAATGAGGAATACGATTTTCAATAGCCCATGTTCTTATTTTTTTTTTCGAAAGGTTAAATAATTGTCCAAATTAAAATGGTATTCACTATCACAAGAACTGCAATCATCACACTCTGATATCTGGTATATTTTGAAGGGAAATTTCAGGTTCAGGCATAATATTTTCCTCTGCATCATGTACAGAACCACCATGAACAACTAAAAACAGGCTTGGGGAAATGTGTAATAGAATATCACATTCACATTCGTGTTCAGCTTAAAGCAAATAAGAGTAGTACTTGTGGACAAATAAACTGCTATTGATGTTAATGGACAACACATATAGTCCTTTTAACAGCCTACAGTGTACATGCGAACCATTGAAACACTTTTGTACAGATAGTAAAAAAAGGTTATTTTAATTATCACAAACAAGTCCTACTACAGCTACTAGCTGTATAACAGTCTAAAACAAGTAAACATAACAGCCTTTGGCTTTATAAATGACCACGTGTGTTCTATTAAAATGCTAGCTCTATAACATCGTACAAGTAGGCCGTTAAACAGCGGTTGCCGTATCTCTACCCTCCTATAATGCTCTTAGTCAGATGGCTGACTAAAGGATAGTTGTTAGAGTATTATAACACCAACAATCGTATAAAAGTATAACTCTACACTAGTCTACACTCCTATAAGTCCCTTAGACAGGTATAGGTGTAATTAATTGCAATAATACAGCTTATACATCACGAGTGAACTGTACTAATGCTTTAAGTACACATTGGAACTAAATGTGAACTCTTAAATGGAGTAAAATGTTACTTGGGCTACACTCATCTCCAGTTTGTCCTTGGACATAGGCCTCCTCCAATGATCTCCATGCTTCTCTGTTTCTAGCTATTTGTGGCCATAATGGCCCTGCTAATTCGCGGATATCATCCTCCCGTTTTTTGCTTGCCTGTCTATATTCGTTCCGCGAAGGAAAAAGATATGCCACTTTCAGTAAAGCAAACACGAAAACTTTCAGTTCACTTTTCTAAGGTTCTCGGACAGGTAAAGCTAGAACCATAACTCCAAGACTGAAACCCCTTTTTGTATTTTTAATTTAGACTTAGAAAATTTCCATACTAAATTTTATAACTTTGTCATTTTTGGTCCGATTTTCAAAATTCTTTCGCTTTAATAGACTCACCCCTTTCGGTTTAGCATCCCCCTGACGTCCGATTGACACCGCTCCATACTAAATTCTGCTTTTTTGGCGGTCTTTAGTGTTTTGGGTAACATCTGAGACGGTTTTTGGGCGTCATTTTCAAAATTTTCTAGGGCCACCCCCGACGTTTATCGTCTTATCGTGTTCGTCTCGGCGAGCCCTATCCATAGACACCCCGTTTGTAGGGATCCGACGACAGGAAGTTTAAAAATTTGCCCGCCCACCCACCCTTTTGTCTCTAGGCAGGTGGAGATTTTCGGCTGGGCCAAAAATTACTTTTTGCGATTAGGCGTGATTCGGGCTCTAGATCGAGTTACTTTAGTTTTAAGTTGACACAACGTATTTTTAGACGTCTTTTTGGACTATTAGGGACCAGTAAACTAATTTTACTGCGACAAAAAATTTTTCAATTTGACCGCTTCTGGCTGCGTCGCTGCTGCAACCGGCACCTGTGAACAAAAGACGCACATTAGTATAGTAAACAAACAAAATATTGACTTACCGGGTGCCGCAGCGGCTGCTGCCCCGACTGACAAGTACCTTAAGAGGGAAAAAAGACTGATATTTTATTATTTTGTACTGTTTTATTTGTTTTGTGTTTTTACTCTATTATACAACTTTTACAAACCTTTTATTGACACAATTTTATTTTATTTTATTATTTTTTCAAATATCACTAAGCGGTCATACGGACTGTTGATTATATTGTACCGAACTTTAGGCGACACGCACCTCTGGCGACATGTTCGGTTTTAGGACTCCGGCGAAGAAGCCCACCGACGAGGTCCAGCAGAGGTCTCCTGAGTCTCCACCTATCAGGAGGGCAGGGAGGGTGAGACGCAGCGTCGGCGAGTGGGAGACAGGGAAAGCTGGGCTTTCTTCTGGCTCCGACTCAACCCCGCCGCAGGCCGAGCCCCCGAAGGCCCCCAAGAAACCCGCGCCAGTGCGCCGGGCTTCCGTGGAGGCAGCGTCGGCGAGCTCACCCAAGCTGCCCGCCACTGCAACTAAGGAAAGAACAGCCGAAGCCAGAGCCTGCCTGCAGAAGGCTAAGATGTCTCTTGGCACAGCAAGAAACCTGCGCGGTGACATCAAGACCGACGTCACGCAGGCTCTGGATCGGCTGTATCAGCTGGTAAAAGAGGCAGAGATGGAAAGGAAGGGGAAGGCTCCGGCGAAGAAGATGGCCGAGCCTGAACCTGTAAAAGAGAAGGAAGCGGATAGGGAGAAGGAAAGAGTAGAAGAGGAAGACATACTAGCTGAGATTAGAGAGAACAGGAGACTCCTGCTGGTAAATAGTAGGAAGCTGGACGAAATTAAGGAGGAGGCGGAGAAACAGAAGACTTATTGCAACGCGTCGACCACCTATGCCAGCGTCGCGGCGTCCGTGCCCGGACAGCAGCGCCTGCCTGTTAGGTCGGCCCTGCACTCCATCGTGGTCACGTCTAAGGACGCGATGGAGACAGGGGAGGAGGTGCTGCGGAAGGTCAGGGACGCCGTCAACGCTAAGGAGGGATGGGTAAAGGTCGACAAGATCAGAAAGGCCAAGGATCAAAAGATTATTATGGGGTGTAGCACAGAGGAAGAAAGGAGGAAAGTAAAGGCTAGAATAGTGGACGGGGGCCTCCTAGTCGCGGAGGACATGAAAAATAAAGACCCGCTTCTAGTCCTGAAGGACGTCCTGTTGCTTAACAGCGACGAGGACGTCCTGAAGGCTCTTCGCAACCAGAACAGGGGTATTTTTCATGAACTCCGCGAGGGGGAGGACCGCGTCCAAGTAAGATACACAAAGAAAGCCAGAAACCCCCATACACGTCACATAGTTGTGAGCGTATCGCCGGCAATCTGGCAGAGAGCGACTGAGGCGGGAACCGTGCACATCGACTTGCAGCACATCCGAGTGGCCGACCAGTCACCGCTGGTGCAGTGCACCAAGTGTCTGGGTTACGGCCACAGCAAGCGATTCTGCACGGAGCCCGCGGATGTCTGCAGCCACTGTGGAGGGCCACACCTTAGCGTCGACTGCGCCGAGAAGCTCGCTGGTGGGGCACCGTCGTGCCGGAACTGCCAGCGAGCCAAAGCGGAGCACGTCCAGCACAATGCGTTCAGCAATGACTGCCCAGTGCGCAGGCGGTGGGACGCGTTGGCCAGATCCACAGTGGCGTACTGCTAAGGTTGCCCCGGGCGATAACACCATCCAGCTCACAACTATCCCGGTCTTCAACTGCCTCGTCCGTCGTTGTAACTCTGAAAAAGAACATAATATTATTAGCATTAAAATTATCTTGAGATCAGAATTTAAAAATTGCAAATATTTGGCCTTAATTTTAGAACATAAAATAACAACACATAACAAAACACAAAATTCAAAATTTAAAGAAAACAAACAAATAGATAACAATTTGATGGCCAAATTGGACTATTTGGAAACAAAAACTCATTTCGCAAAACAAACAGCACAAAGGCGCTCACTGAAAAGAAAACAATTAAGATCTATGTTATCTAAATATTATGAGAATATTATAGATAAACATAAAAAAGTAGTTGCAAATGAGTCACCAGATAACCCAATATTCAAAATTTTACGAAACCTTGATATTAAAATAAATAAAACTTACCCCATTAAAATAAATAAAACTTACCCATAATAAACAGCAAACAAGCAAAACCTGTGTCCTGAAATCGAGCATGGCATAACAGTTTTTACGACAAAACATTAGTAATAAAAATTAGAAAATCATCAATTGGCAATTAGAACAAAATTTTCAATACAGATAAATAGCAAAATCAAAACAAGCATTTTAGAACATAATTATTTTAAAAATTATCAAACATTAAAAGCATATAAACATAGGTAAAAAATCCAACTAAACCTTCTAAAAACACAACAGAATAAAATTGAAAATAACATAATAAAAAAGGCTCTGATATGCAATCGTCAGAGGGGCAAAA